CTGAAATAGGTAAAAACTTAATCTTGTCTCTGTTGCACACTACAGCTCAGTATCAAAAAAAAGTAAAAAAACAATGCTCTCTGTTTTAGGTAACAAGACAAAACTTGAAATGTTATTGAATTAAATTACAATATTTTGCCAAGTTCGTTCTTTAAGCCGAACTAAAATTCATCAAAATACGACTAAGAATAACAAAAATATTGCAATGTAAAAAAACGCAAAATTTTAGTTGTCCGGTTAATTTTGACGGGCAGAGTCTATCGATTTTAAACCTTTTAAAGGTTAGGAAATACGTCATTCTATCCCTTGGTTGGAAAGTGATATATGTAAAAGTGCCAAAAAATGCAATTTGTTTGCATAGCAACTACGTCAATGCTAAAAAAACATATATTTTTTATTTAAACAAAATGAAATTGTGAATAAAATAGCACACAATCCTCGGTAAATTTTTTATTACACTCTCGCGCTTTATCTAACCCTTAGGATAAAAAAAATATTTGCCATCGCGGTTGTAACATCCTATTTTTTATTTTTATCTGTTTCATTATATTCTTCTAAAACCGTAGTTTTATTTGGAATAAGAGTCTCACGTGATGTGAATTGCTTTACTTCACTATTATCATGTTTTGCTTGACGTATCAGATGTTTGCCGATGTATTGATTTTCAAAACGAGACGAAGATTAATTTGAACGTCACAGTTTGGAAAAATAACTTTGATGGCTTCTTGCCTACACATCGAAGCAAAGAAAAGAAAGACGCCACTAAGGACAAATATTAATAGTAATTCTTAAAATTTTCGCTAAAAAAATGTTTTTTTTATCGTAATTGGTACTTACATACTTTCAAAACTATCAATGATACATAAAAGTCATAGATTAGTATTTAAAGATAAATATCTATTATAATTTAAGAAGCATATTATTATTGCTTGCTATTGTGCAAAAGTAATAAAAAAATATAATTTAAAATAAATCGCTTAAGCCCCATGTCATATATCGACTATTTTGTAGATAGTAACGTAAAACTATAACTCATTTGTAAATCGAGACAATTAAAACTCATTAGGAAAAACTTGTTGTTAAATTATTGTTTTCAACATTTACAAAAAAATATTCAAATCCACTCAATGAGAAAACATCTTGCCTTGAATATTCATAACTTCCATAATTTCCGATTCGCTTGCGATTTACCACCACGCACGTGCTCCCCGAAAATTACCATTCCCGATCTCGTTTTTTTTTCCCCTCCTTTAGGCGCTCTATTATCTTTGAAAAACCCTCATTTTAAAATCGCAATTTCGTTCCCAACTTAACATTCAACTCGTGTCACATCTTCGGAAGCCACCAAGGACTCCTCTTTCTATCGATTGCTCCTTTTGGCAGCAAGAAGAAAAACTCCCGACTTCCTGTCAAAAATTCTCTTAGTTATTCGCGTCACGTGTTCAACCATACAACCGATTACCGTTCACAATTAATGAATAGGGATCTCTCGACGTCAACGTCACACGACTTCCGGCTCATATGAGGGCGTCTATGTCTGCCCTCTTCGATTTCCGATATATTATACCACAAACGGAGCGCGACGTTCCGGCATGATGATGACAGCTGAGCGTCGACCGGCATCCACGATGCGTTCTTTAAATTTTAAACATCGACATCGACGACGACGTCGTCGTCGTCGTTGTAGGATCGTGACGCAACATTATACTCTATATCTATATATGCGAATGGGCGGGGTCACAATCAAGATACCTACGTCATGCCACCTTCTTTACACTCGCCATCAAAACAAACATACCGTGACTTTATAGTTGATTTTCCTATTGGGTGTCGTGCTATCCATACGAACGGCCATAGTAATTATTATATCACAGATGAGTTGATGGATCGCGTAGGGGTGTGTCTTTTATTCGTTGGGTGATGTTGTGTCATGGCACACTATAATGCGGTGACGACGATCGTCATCGTCGCGCGGCACTCTTTGAGTTGTTGTTTTTTGTTTGGCGAATTTTTTTTTCGGGACCGGGGGCCCCCCGGGTGTTAGAGATGGGACTCGGTGTCCGACACCAGTAACTACACCGCCGCCGCCGCACACTCTTCTATCGCCACTCCCCTCGGTGCGCTACGCGGACACCATCTTGGTTGACGATGGTGGTGTCGGTCGTTCGGTCGGTCGTCTCGCGATCGGTTTCGCCGAAAGTCCGCGAGAGCGCAACACACACACGGCGCCACGAACAGTGGCGGCGCAAAAAGGACAATACCAGTAATTAAGAAATTAACTCTAATTTTGCTCATTACCGAGTTTTTAAACGTGATTATGTATTATACCTACTGAATGGCAATTTCTCTCAACACGTCCAAACAATATCACAATTCGTTTCAGTGGCGTAGGTTGTCGTATAATGCTGTAACGAAGTTTATACAAAAAATAGATGGAATTCAAAGATTTCCAAAATTGTGAAGTAATTTTCTTTAGTCAGGTCAAGTCAGCTCCCTATCTGCATTTTCATAATACATATAAGGTGTTTCAGAACTCGCGCCCCAGAGCATAGGTACCAGGAACATAAAAATTGGGTTTACAAGAGAAAAAAAAACTTTAATTTGGATTTATTGTAGGTTATGTTTGAAGGCTGAGGTAAACTCTTTTATTAAATATTTTCGATTAATCGCCCAATAATCGTCCAATGTCAAAGTTGACTTATGCCTGACAGCGATTTGTGAAACCTTGGTCATTTGTTGCCGTGGATATCATCCATTCAAAATCCCTACTTTTTGAATTCATCGTTCTGCAGTCCTCACTTTAAATTAAAATATCTTTGAAACGGTCCATTTTAAGGGTATTAAAGGTTATGCATTTTTTAATTAAAATTGATTACTCTATCGATATGGGCAATAAAAAATTGGTGTTAAGAGAGCAAAAAAATGGAAAAACACAGAAAATGTGACCTGCAACTGCTGGAACCGGAAATCGAGTAGATATGTCCGGTTTTCGTGATTACCAGTTCAAAAGGTATGTTGTCACGAGGAAATGTTCCAAATTTTATAATATTTGGTCAAATAGTTCCAAAGTTATTACAAAAAAAATAAATTTCCATACCCACATAGCGAGGGCTATAAAATTCTTATCAGTAGAGATAGGACACGAATTATTATAAAAATTAACATCATTTTATAGGTCATTTTTAAGGTTCAAATATTGCTTCATATTTATGAATAACCCTATACAAGATCATCAGTAATATTTAATAAACATAAAAAATATCAAATTTCAAAAATATATGTTTAATTTTTTTGACAGATATAACTTTTTTTCCATGTTCCTTCTTGTCTTACTTCTACTTGGCATTTTTCTTTAAGACGCCAGTTCTGAAACACCCTGTATTTACCTACATAACGTTAAATGAGTTTATTATTTACTATTGTTAATTTAAAAAACACTTAAATAAAATACTTCGAAACTAATTGTAAATAGTATGATTTACTTTTGATAGGTAGTAATTCAGTCATTTATTGGTGTTCTTTTCTGTATGAAACAGTGAAGCTTCCTGGCCCTAAACTTGTCTGTATGGTTCAGTTGTAACACAATTTTTTCTTTTACACAGAAAACAAATGTCTGTGACATATTTCACCTCAAAAATCGCAATTGCGACGTTGCCGGTGTGCAAATTTTTCTTTTACATAGAAAACAAATGTCTGTTACATATTTCACCTCAAAAATCGCAATTGCGACGTTGCCGGTGTCATAATTGGCGGTGATATGGGAACGGAACACAATTTTTAATACGCCCAGCGAGGTGTCAAATGTCAAATTAATTGATATTGTAGCTTTCGCTCGTTCGCAATCGAACTTTTTTAGATAGCTTTGACGCCAAATTTAAAAAAACACCCGTTATAAAACAAGATAGAAAAAAATCAACAAATGCCTTACACACTTATTTTTTAAGTTTAACTTAAAAAAACTTAAGGTTTTTTTAGCTCAAAGAGGTAAAACTTTGACCTTACACAGCGCGAATCCAAATTTCTGATAAATTTTTCAAAAAGTGAAAGTAATGTATTTACATAATTGTTTAAGAAATCGAACATTGTGTAAAACCGAGTTCAAAAGCAACAAAAAAAATAATTTTGTTAAACGATATGCAAACATTTAAACAAAAAAAATTTTGAATAAAAGTATGTTGAATAAAAAGCAATCGGACAATAAATAGATTAAAAATTGCCGTAGAAAGAGTTTTTAGCGTAATTTAAGTCCAAAAATTTTAAAAAATCAACAGAAACTACACAGAAAATTCATATGAAAAAATAAAACATTAAGGTTTAAACGTCAGAAGTGCAAGAAAGCCAAAACATATACCGTATCTTTTAAATCTGCCATCAATGTTTTGTTTCAAATTTGTAAAAATGAATTTATAATGCAGTAAAATATTTAAACTTAGACTCGAGCCATTAATTTTGAGATTTTATTTCGTAAAAGATGAATTTGTTTCACTCATAGTGACATATTGCATAATTGAAAAAAAAATCATACATGAATTTTAAAACAGGTTCGACTTTCAGGAATTGATGTAAATATTTGACGAAATTTGATAGGATTTTTTCTACAGATGGGAACAATGTTGACCAAAAAAAAACTTAATAAATTTTTAATGTTCTAGTTAGTCAGGGTTGATTGTTTGTTACTACGCTTGTCGAATACACTTTAATAAAAACAAAAAAACTCATTTTTGTGCTTCACCACTTGTCTCTTTCTGGAAAAACGAAAGGAAAATTGACCTTGAGACGATTTTTCCGTGTCAAGATCAAAGTTACATTGTGAGGTGACTAAATAATGTATTTGCGTTGATAATAAACACTATTGTACGTTTCAGTATTTGGCTATTTCTATAAAAGAGAGAACTCTAGACTTGTTTGTGGCAGGTGGTGAGGGAATTTTAATCCTGTCGCTCTACCCCCCACAAAAAAACAAACACAAAGAAGGATCTAAACCGACGATAAAGACTTACCGAAATAAGAAAAGGAGAATCCGGTCGAAAATCTGAAACAAAGAGCAACGTTTTAGTAGAAAAGAAGCTTTTCAATTGAATATTTAATCAAGAGGAAAGTCTCGGCCTGTTTTTGCTTTGAGCAATTTCCACGTTTCATTCAAAAATAATTAAAAGTTTGGATTCAATGACAATCATTAGTCCCTATTCGGCCCGAACTTAATGCAATAAATTCATTTTATCTTTATGCCTTATGTTCCAATTCTCTCCCCTTGTAACTACCATATTTGCAGCTGCTTTCGAAGAAATAATAAAATTTATCGAAAGTAATTTTATGAACGCACGTTCTGATAAGAAAAAATTCAATGAAGAAATTTTTTTTCGTCAGTAAAAAAAATCCAACTCGTGTGTCACTTGACCTCGCACCCATCTCAAAACCGCCCCCTTATATTACAAATTCCAGTGCGATTTAATTTCGTTTATTTTCGATTGACGTTTTCTTTCCTCTCTCCTTTTTGATGATAATTCGGGAAGAAAGTCGGTCACGCCTGTCCGTATTGATCAGGGGGTTGGACGGTTGCGTCCGCACTTCCGGCGGATGTGTCCCTCAGACGTCGTCGGTTTTTCGTCCCGGCGGCGATGACGGGCGAGGTCGTGGCCCCTGCGGGAGTACCCGGCCCGGCGGCGGCGGCGGCGGTGGCTGCTTTCATTCAGACTTTCTCTCAATGACGGGAGATCGGGATAAAGTCGCGGGTTCGACGACCCGCGCACATCTCTCGCCTAGCGGTTGCTGGCCACGAATACCAGACCAGAAGGAGACGGAAGATGGTAGACCCACATCGGGCCCCAAACAAGAATTCATACAAGGATCAAAGGACGACAATATTTTTTTATACAAAATTTACCATTCTAGTGATGGATAAAAATAAAATCAGAAATCGGTGGTCATTCGGCCGTTCCACACGTGTTCAATTGGTGCCAAGTCAGGTGATCCTGCAGGTCGGGAAAGTGTAGTTTAAGAATTTTAACAACGTGCATTACACTTTATTATTCTTAGCTTCGCTTCAAGAGAATACAAAGAATAAAAAACGTGCAAATTACTTAAATAATTTCTTTCATGGTAAAAAATCTAGTACAATAATTATTTAAGAAACATACGTGTTCTTTAAATATTAAAAGTAGTACAGGATGTCTCATCTGAGACTTTTTCAGTACTTTTAGCTGAGACAGGCTGTATAACAAATGTCAAAATAAGTCACGTCGACGAGTGTTTAAGCCAATTCAAACAATAATAAAATCAGACAAAAAACACACATAAATTCTCTAATATGTGCTCAATTAACATTTAATTAGGAAATGTTTATAATTTACCACCATGGAATCAAACTTGTTATTCTCGCCTTGAGTTAAATGCAATTTTATTAATTTGCGAATAGAACGATAACCCAGACCCAGAATTTAAAATGATAGCCTTTTATTTTCTGTTATATAATTTTAAGTAATTTTTGTAACAAATTCAAAACAAATAAAAAAATTTAATTATCAAAGTTGTCTTAACCTACGTCAAAAAAGTAGCTGTTTATTTACTTAGGAAAAACTAGACCAATTGATAAGATTAGATGATAAAATTGCAATTTACCGATTTAAATTCCAGGATATTGAATTTATAGCAATTACTCATTGATTCTACAAAACACTTATCTGACATTTGCTTAAAAATCTCTCAAAATACCACATATTGAATCATTCAATTACATATTTTCCCTTTGTGGAAATTAGCTTTTGATGCTGTTAGAGAATCACTCGGTATAACAGTGATTTGTAGGTCTTCAGGTTATTAAGGCTGCCGATAATTGAATCAAAGTCGTACTTGAGGTTTCAACTTGTAAAATCCGAATTCATCTTGCGGTTACAATACAACCCACATCCCCTCTAAAAACTAATTCATGTCAGATTTACCGAATCGATAGTGTCAATTAAAGCGTTCCCAGCTGTTGTACCCCCACGATATTGACCAGCCGCCATTCCATCGAAAAAAAAAACAGCAAAATCAGAGTTTGATGTTTTGTAAATATTTACATTTAACGCTGGATAAGACAAAAGCAACGGAGTGATATCAGAAATGATTGACGAGTCGTCGCCATTTAGGATGAACCAAACGGAAGTCATTATCGCCAACTACAGGAATGCAGTTAAAAGCTGATAAGGGTTATTATAACGAGTGGAGCTTCCCGGAATTAATTCACACAAATTCGTCCTCAGTGGTATAGTTTGTACAAGCCAAATTAAAAACGTTCCGACACCCTTATTTACTTTTCGCCGACGAGGAGATAAAGCAATTACAACGTTGGAGGAGAAAAAAATATAAATAGAACACAATTTCGAGCCGAGAAAAACACGCGTTTTCACTCAAAATTAACGAAAAAAATTGCGAGAAAATCCATAAATCACTGATTTTTTAACTAGTGGCGGTTTGGGGAAAGCTAAATAAAACTATATTTTATTTTCCTCATTTATTCTTAACCAGGAGCAATATTTTTTGAATTTCCAAAAAGTTTATAATTACATTCATAAGCATCTATGATGTGAGGACTAAGTTATAAAGTTGTAGATGTTGGTTATTAAAATGGCAACTCTCATTGATGTTCCTTTTATGTGGAAAACTTTAGATTTTGTCCTTTGAGAAATGGATATAGACAAAGTTAGTTACACTGGAAGGAAGAAACCCCAAAATTATTTAAAATCTTTGCACAAAGTCTGCTTCCGCATTGTTCTAGGGTTAAATTTCCGTCAGGTCGGCGAGACTTGGTTCTGATTTATCTTATTGCACTCTGTACGCCATATCGATTTTCGTCTACAAACCGCATGCGTTAAAAACCAGACAGTGCATCTTAAGAAAATGCAATTTTCCTTCAACACAGCTCCCTTGTGTTTTTTTAAAAGCGCTCTCAATAAAAAATTCGACACGGCTCATTATCGAGTGCAATGCCCTTTAGGTATCTCTTCTTCTTGTGGAAGTGCGAGGGTTAGCGCCCTGTGCCAGCAGTCTAGACCAGGCTAGACACCCCTACCACGTGGCGTACTTCGCCCCCTTCGGAGTTCGCATGGGGGTCGTTGGATAAACACGAGAGAGGTAACACCATATGTGACTTGTCCATCAACAGGCGAGCTATTAATTTAATGTCCTTTATTAATGCCGGATGAGGTTTTAGACGTCTAGGCGGCCCGGCCTGAAACCGCTTGATTTTTCATGGATTCGACAAAAAACGACCTCACAATGAGTACCACAATGCAATTATTACGCAATCATGGCCATTGGTCACGTTCAATTGTTCAAGAAACAAATAAAAAATACAATTGAAACTAGACCATCTAGATAACGAATCAAAAGTGGTGGATGTATAAAGCAACCCCAAATTTGAATTTACTTCAACTTTCGAATCGTTTTCCGGTGTGAGATGCTTGAGGCGGCACTGAAGGAAGCCGAACCATTTATTATACCAACGAACGGTATCTGATTCTAGTCATGGTAGGATGGATACACCACGAATCAAGAACGATCCTTGGAGAAGGACGACGATGGATGGATAAAAACGCGACAGACACGAGTACTGAATTACCGCAACGTTATTGCAGTGTGAGAGAAATTCGTGAACCGTGAATAGAAGCAAGCGTTTTTGAATTGCTAGAATAAGACGATGATAGTTGAGTTAGGACGGGGAATTTAATTTAACAGTTAGACGGCGACAGAATCGGGCAAATCGACCGACTGTGAATTTTTCGACGAAAAATTTTAGGCGCATTCTTCGCGTTTTATGACCACGAAAAACGTGAGAATTGATGGGACGGTTCCTTCGCAGAAGGAACCGAAAAATCAGAAAATTTTAACATAAACTGTAAAAAAACATAAGGCAAATCTCACCGAGAAAATTGAAAATAAAAAATGACTTGCACTCCCTTCCGTTTTGTAAACTGTATCCTTCACATTGTGCAAAAATATTATTTCAATATAATATTGTTAAATATATCACAAGAAAAGCTCTAAAAGTTATCAAATCAAGACTTCTACCTGTAATAATAAACAACACCATTATTTCGACAGTACGACAGTCTAGAGTCTAGACACTTAATGATAGATTAATATGTAAAAATTGTTCAGAAAAACAAAAACAAACAGTGCCTTTGTTTGATGATAATAATAATCGTTTAATCGAGAAAATAGATTAAAAATATAAATGTCTGCATTTCTTTAAGGGAACAAATTATGCACAATATTTTATTTAAACATAAAGTATTTTTGTTCAGAAAAAAACAGTGTATATTCAGCAAAAGTTATATACGTTCACTTAATGTTCATTAAAAATAATAAATGCACAGTATATGTCTAGTAAAACTAATATGCACATAGTAAAGTAACAAATATTCATTAAATATTCATTAAAGTACATTAAAAAACGCGTTTCATAGGGCAAGTTTTGTGGGGCGAATTCAGGTTTATGAAACGAGCAGCAAAGCGCGAGTTTTATAAAGACGAGTTCCCATAAATGACTTATAAGATAGTTTTTTTTATGCCACCTTTTCTATTTTGCGCATTTTGCAAGTCGATTTTATCAAAATTTAGGTACTTTTGCCCTAATAAGGTGATGGTTGATAACAAATGTCACAAAATTTGTAAAATTCGATGTTCAAGTGTCAAGTTTTCAATATTTTGTTGAATTAACAATGCATACTGCAAACATTTATTTTATGCACACCACCTGAAATAAGAGAAATATAATGGTTGCATTGGCTCAGAATAATAAAAAATGTACAGTACATAATACGATAATAAATACCAATAATAAATATTATCCTTGCACAGGGGCCATACATTGTTATGTAATCAAAACTGCAAACTCACTAAATTTTATGTTATTTTACCAATTATTTTTACTGCGTAAACTGGATTTTTTACTATGCATTTTTATACTGAACAAATTACAATAAAATACTGTGCATGCTTTACTTATCATTTATTATTTTTACTGTACAAAATATTATAATTATACTGATCATTTCAAGTTTTTAACCGTGTAAAAATTAATTAAATACTAATCATATATCATTTTATACTGAACAAAATCGGATTGTCCACTACCCACACTGTGTTAGTACCCATTTCTTAATTTATTATTTTCAATACAACAAAACGAAAGCTTTTTAACTTTCAGAAAGTTTTTAAAACACAACATACACGAAAAATGAAAGTGGCCACCTTGTATTTCTCTAGGCAAAAAATTATGATAAAAATCTTTTTTTTTTCTAATAATAGAGAATTTTACTTAACTGTTTTCCTCATCTTATGTTAAACTGAAATTTCAACCTAGCACTCGTAATGAAAACATCAAGGTATCATTTCCTGCCTGTAAAACCAGTTCCTGTTATTGCCGTCAAGATTTTTTTTTCAGGAACTCAATTTACAACAATACAAACCTTTAACAAAACTGTGTAGCAATAAACGAAAATAACTTACCTGTTTTTGCGATTCATAGAGAAAATGAACAATAATTTAACTCTTCATTGGGATAACATTTAAAAATTTACATTTTAAAACAGTTAGTTGCCATTTTAGATAAAACCGATGTTTACCTGTAGAAAAATGTATAATAACGGTTGATATTTTAATAAAAATGTGATTAATTGAAAAAATACATATTTCTCATTTAAGTGTAAGTAGTTTTAACACGCAAGAAGTGTATTATTTATCTTACAATAATTGCACTTGCGCATATAATAAATTAAATCAAAATTTTAATCCTTTTACATTATCTCACACTTTGGCTTAATTTTGTGGGAGAAAACTGAAATTACATACAATATTTTAATTACTCGAACTTAAAAATATTTATTGCATTCCAAGCAATTCTAAAATTGACTCCTCTATCTACAACAAATTAATTCTCAGTGTGAATGACTGATTAAATAATTCCTCACGCAGTTCGATCACTTTGTTTTTTATCCTTTGGAAATCAATAGGACGATTAAAAAAAATTCAGGCAGCGACCAAGGACGACACAACAATTTTGGCTTAATGAATTTAGATAAACTTCTAATTAGTCATAAGCTCATAAGACAAGATTAGAAAAGCGATTGATTTGTTTTCCTTCAAGTAAAATTTTATGCATTTCTGCATAAAGTTTGTAATTCCGACATTGGCCTTATTATGACCATATCCGTTTCTAACGAGGCTTCTATCTCATCTCCAAGCTGTGAGTAAAATTACAATTTGACATTCAAAACTCGTAATAAATATGATATATGAGCATGACGATCGATATCTGATCTTGACAAGTTCAGTTAATACAAAGCCAATAAGAATCAGCTACTAAGTACTTTATTTAAATCAAAATTTTGAGGTTTCAGTGCTGAAACTTGAACTACGAAATTGATTGTGTCTCATTTTTAACTCTTGTGACAAAATTGTTTTCAGCTGAGTTATTTATTAGAAATTTCTCATCAGAAGCATTAAACAAATTGGTGGTATTGTAGTCGAGATCTAGGAATAAGATAGTGGTAATAAATTAACGGGAAATTTCCCCAAACAGATTAGTGCATTCTTATAATGGTTAATTAAATGGTGTACGGGTTTATAATTATTATTGATAATATTTATAGTTGCGGTAATTGCATCATCAATTCGACACGGAATGAAATATTTTGCATGATTTCTCGAATCTGTGACATGCAGATACTTTCACATTGTGTCTGAATATCAAATTTAATTTGAAAGTGGCTGGAAAGAATAATGATAAGAAATTCCGCAAATTTGATTCATGAGGGGGGGCCACCTAGAAATTGGAAAAGTCCACGTTGAATCGGGAGGTGAAATGGCTCCTGCCTACGTCTCCGGCCCGAAAAATACAATCGCAACCTCGGTTCCAAGTGTAAAAATACCGTGAAATGAACCGAAACCAGTGATAAGGAAATTTCGTACATTCCTTCGGGGAAAAATGACTCCCGAAATTTTTCGTTAACTTACCTCAAAATAAAGGAATCTGCGACTTGTACACCACCGATTCCATGCACGTTTGCAGACAAAGGCACTTTTTCCCAAAATAAAATCACAACGATTCGAAATGAAATCAAATTCTCTCGGATTCCTTGGCAATGAATACGCCCTCCTGAAACCTTTGACAGATGTCAAAAACGCCCAAAACACCACGAAATACCACAAAACACGACACGTCAGTCTTTTAATTTGATTTGTACTGATTTCGACTATGTAAATTTATATAAAAACAACAAGTTTATATGAAAATATTAGAAACACCCAATTTTATTTAGCGGCAGCAAACCGCATACGACACAAGAATTCTTTGGGTAAATACCAACTAATGTCATGTCAATTCTGGTGACGTCACCAGACATAACATAAACAAACCGCTTCGTTAAAACCATCCTCACATTTCAACAAAAACCCCCAAATCGCCCAAATCAACCACTAAAACCATACCACAACTAACTCATACACACAAATCATAACCCTAATTAATTAAAACTACCCAAAAGTTATACAATAATTCAAAAAAACATCAAAAATTCTCTTAATCAACCGGTAGGACTAGACTAATTCTAGCACCAAAAACACTCTCACCAACCCAAGTAAAAAAGATCCCTATGGTGACAACATAACCTCAGAATGTCACAAGACAAGAGGCCCCAATTCGGCAACAGACACCTCACCGACGACGACAATGTTTTCCAACACAATGCGTGGTACGATTTTTAAACTTCTCTCATTACGTAACTGCCACACACGTTACCGCAAAAAGCCCAAATACGGTACTCGCTTCCTAATCGATAAAAGCAAAATCTTTGATTTTAACGCCTGGTACGGCCTTTTTCTCCACTGAATAGTCATAATAGGCGTTTCTGTGCAGGGACGATGTCGAGTGGGACGAGGAACAAGAAAATCAAGCGAGGGATAAAGTGAGGATAAACAGTGAGGTTAAAATCCCTAATAGTGTGATTGAAAAGTACGAAAATGAGGCCGATAAGTACTGGGACGCGTTTTACGATATCCACACAAATAGGTTTTTCAAAGACAGGCATTGGTTGTTTACAGAGTTCCCCGAATTGGCTGTGAACGAGGGCGAAAGTAGGACGATTTTTGAAATTGGTTGTGGGGTTGGAAATACAATTTTCCCGATATTACAGACCTCAAAAAATGATAATTTGAAAGTTTACGGGGGCGACTTTTCATCAAAAGCCATTGAGATTTTAAAAGAAGCGCCAGAATTTGACTCAAAACGCTGCAACGTTTTCGTATTAGATGCCTCTCAAGACAAGTGGCAAGTGCCTTTTGACGAAAACAGTATTGACATAATTGTGTTAATTTTCGTTTTATCGGCTATAAATCCATTAAAGTATTTATTACATAATTTTTGACTCTTTTTAACAATTTTTTTGTAGATTTGTTAATGTGATCAAAAACATACACAATTATTTGAAACCTGGGGGGTTAGTGTTATTTAGGGACTATGGACGCTATGATATGGCACAGTTAAGATTTAAACCAGGTCGGTCTTTGGGAGAAAATTTCTACGTACGTGGGGATGGCACTAGAGTGTATTTTTTTACCCAAGGTAATGGTACTTAACTCCCTTGTAGCAAAACTTCATTACTAAACTTGCAGATGAAGTACGAAAATTATTTGAGGAATTTGGTTTCAAGGAGGAGGAGAATCGGGCCGATAGACGTTTACAAGTGAACAGAGGTCGATTGTTGAAAATGTACAGAGTTTGGATTCAGGCAAAGTACAGAAAAACTTAAATTGACAAATATATTAATTTTTGTAAATTTTTAAAAATTACATAATTACATTATGTCTATAGATTAAATATAAGGAATCCTTTTGTAATAATTGATAAAATAAAAAAACCTACATGAAAATAAATACAAATGTTTTTTGTACTTTTTTTATAAAAATTTCGTTACTTGTTAAAGAAAACAAACACAGTTTTTTAAAGTGATGAACACGAACACTCTTCAAAAATTTTTCTATCCTTTACAATTCGTCTAATACAGGACAGTCTAATTTCCACAATATTAATATACATAGAAAAAATCAGCCTTTAATGTCTTCATCTTAGTACGATTAATAACTGCCTAATAACCACAAGCACTAACAATCCCCCAAAAAACAAGGAAAAATCAAAACTATTGCAGCGAATGAAAATAAAAACAAAAACGATTCAAATAAATCGTGATGTGAGTATCGTTAATTGCCTGAAGGCACCGCCGGCTATGAAAAAAAAATCACAAGACTTCACGACGGATTAGTTGAACACCCTGGCTGTCCTACACGAAAAAACCTCATCTGAAAAGCTTCGCTTCTTGCGTGTCATCGATTGTTTGCAAGTACGCCGTGTGGACGCTTTCGCAAACGAATCGATACTGACTCTGAGTGACAACAAAACAAACATTATTGCAAATTGGGCCCCAATTTCAATACTTACAGCATTTTGTATCATCATTGCTCGTTGCTCTCTCATCGTTTTGACGATTTCGAGGGGGTACACCGGCTCCCCGGCCTCAATTAAGCACAAAGCCGTCTCCATCAGAACTAGAACTCCTGTGCGACCAATCCCCGCACTGCAATGGACCACCACGGGGGCGTCGTCGCCTTTTCTCGCCTCTCGGACTTTTTCAGTGAAACTTAGAAAGAGAGCGGGAGAATCAGGGACCCCGTGGTCCGGCCACGCCACGTATTGGATGTGTTTCAAGCTCCACTCAGTGTTGTTCTACAAAAAAAAAATCACTACTTTCCTGTTTTTTTTTTTCATTTTTTACGTACTTTAACGTCAGTTAGACTAAAATCTCTGAAAATAAAGCTTCCGGACTCGTCCGTGGTTTCATCCAAGCATTTAATTATCACATTTTGCATCGTTAAACATTCGCCTACATTTGGCCAATATTTATGACATTTGGCTCGTCCCCGTTCAACTAATGTCGTCAACATCACAATTAAGTTACATTTTTCTTCCAAAATCATCTGCCAGAAGTCCTCACAGGTCGATTGCAGTGGTCCTTGAGTCGCTATATATTTATTGACTATATCAGTACCGTTTATTTTCATATTGACGTAGTTGGCATTGATATAATCACCACTGGGTGCATTTTTCAATATCACACGAGTCGAATCATCTAAAATTTGATTTAAGTGTTTAGTCTGCAGTCCGCGACGTATACTCACAAGGCGAAATATCCCTGTAACGATTCTTGTTGATATTTTTCGGTTCAAGAGAGACATCGCATGTTAAATCGGGATGTTTCCGGTATAGCATTTCATATCGAGCAATGAGAGCACCACTTGCTAGACCATCAGCCAATAAGAGCATGCTTTGTTCGAGGGCGTTTTCAGGCGATGGGGGGCGCTGTAATTCACCCACTGGGACGTATTGGTATGGGGGCTCCTCGAACTCCTCCATTCCGGCATAAAGAACGTTGGGTTTGACCACTAATACCAACTTTCCTATATCGAAAAAAAGGAGTAAAAGCTGGCAACTACAAAAATAAATTACCATCATTGGTGCTCCTCGCCTTGTGTATTAGCATAACAACATCTTCATGTAATGCATGCGAAACGTCGACCCCATTTATCTGAATCACTTGGTCTCCTTCGGATAAACGAGGGGTACACTTATCGGCTGGTGTATTTGGTGCGACTCTGGATACCAGAATCGGAACATCTCGACTCGTACCTCCCTTGACATTAAAACCGTATTTTCCGTCCTCGGGATGTAATGTGATGGTTACAAGAGTTTCATCGGTGATTTGTGACGTGGGCGAATGACTGGCGCTGTAGGGAGGAGTGTCATACAAACCGTTCGAAGTAGGCGATGGAATCTCCTCATCGACGTAACTTAAGACACGACCAGGCGAAAATGGTCCTTCTAGAGTACGTTCCAGAAATCCACCATCGCTGCAAAAGGAAATAATAAAATGGGCGTGTCTTGTTAGCCCCGCCCTGGTATGTACTCACTCATCAGACAATTGCGAATCGTCCGCCCACGCTTTTCGCGGTTCTTTGGCCCCCAAAGAAGTGACTTTGTTGTCGTAGGGCCTCGGAGGGCGGCCGGGGGCTAGTAATCCTTTGCCCTTTTCCTCGACTGGTGGCACCGGACGAACCTATTTCACAAATTACATTTTTGTCAATTTTTGAAATTTTTTTACCAGTTGTTTACTCGGAGATCGAACAAATTTCCGCTCAAGTTTTCCTCTCCTTTTCACGTCAGCAACAGTCTGAAATTCAGTGCGCCCGGAATAAGTGAATTTCGAGCCCAGTGAAAACGGGAATTTTCGTTTCACTTTTGGTGAATCCAATCGGAAAAAAGTGTGATGTTCAACGCAGGCTTTCCACAGAGTTTTCGAGGAGCGATAAGACTCCATGTTGAATCCGAGCAAAGTGTCATAATCTTCAGACTAAAACAATGGAATTAAAAACACAAATTTTTACGTTTTTGAAAGCTTACCAACTCGCGGATCAACTGGATGAAAAACTGTTTACGTTTAAATGAAATTTTCATAATTTTCGACCAGGAAAACGTGTTGATTTTGATATTGTTTTGAAAGACGACAAGACCCATATGGGTGACTCCTAATTGAATTTCACGGTTCGTGTTGTCGCGAGTTTTGTGGAGTTCAACACCGTACATTTCAATTCGTTTTGCGTGGTCGAGGAAGTTGAACTCGGCCTGGGCTGGCGATTGTCCTCTACAAAAAATTAATTTCAAACAGTTTTCAAAAGCTGTTTTTCATTCTAGGGACAAAAAACTTGAGAGAAACAAAGAGACAGGTTCGTCATGAATGCATTAAATTATGTAAAAAAATAAAATTTGTGTAATAAAGACAGTACTAGGAATAAAGATAATACTCTTCTTAGTTTAATAAATATTGTTTTCTATTATCTCCTAACTCATAAAATGTAACCGGAAATGTAATTAAATCATAAATTGATGAATATTTCTTCTAGTAAATCCACGATAACTTATACAAATAATTCACAAAAGTGACTCATTTGATAAGAAACCTTTTTGAAATAAACTAATTTTTCCGTTAATTTTTGCATACTTGTGTAATTTATGTAATTCGGCAATTTTCCTCTCCATTTCCTCGCATTGTCCTGGTATGAGTTGCATAGTGGATAGATAATTGGGCCCATGTTCCTCAGGTTGATAATCCCCTAACTCGGCTAAAAACTCCAAAATGAGTCTTTAAATCCCCAAAAATTTCGTAATCACCTTGAACTGTATAACTGGCTAGGAGAATGGCAGTGCTGGGGGCTAAAACAAGCCTCCCTTCTAGGATATCTCGACGGATTTGTAGGCAAAACTGGTATCTGGTATACTCCTCTTGCAACTTACTTGGATCGGAGACGTAAAACTTAACTCTAAAATACAACGGGTATTGGCAGTGGTTGAGCTGCTTTTTGATGGGTTTGGACGGATCTAACCAACGCTGAAACTTGCAATTAGTTTGTGAATTGATGGGTTTGATACGTACCATGAGTTCAGGTTTGTTGACATTGGGTGCACACCCATTTTCCGAGTACTGGAGTCCGAAGTAGTCCTTCTCGACGAGCTCCAGGTGCTGGTAGACTTGGTCCATGATGACGCTGCCTTTGCACCGTTTCCCCACATGAAACTCATGCTCAGTGTCGTCGAGAAAACGCACGGTGATGTTAAAGCCCTTCAGTTTGCTCCTTTCGCGTGCCGCTGCCAGTTCTAAGGCTTGGACATTGTAAGTACCACTCGAGCCACTAAACGTCCGTTTTGACACGCTCTCGACTATGTCCATGGCGAAAATCTGCGCTTTCGGGCATTACGGACCCAATACGAAGATAGACCTATCCCACTGATAAGTGATAACCAAGAAAATTCAAAGTAAAGTAGTAATTATGAAAATGATGCTTTTTTCGGTTTGACACTAACGTCATATCATGGTTAGCTGCGATTTCGATGAGCTGTCAGTCGGTTGTTTTAGACAATTTCAAAGGATTTGGCACGAATTCGATGCATCACATACACATTTAACGTTATCACAATGTGGTTTTATCACAATTTTATTATTTCATTCATTATTTCATTATTGAAACGTCAATGGCAGCACTGAATGGCAGGTTTTTACCCAGCACATCGAGAGAGCCGGGCACCGAAAGCATTTTTGCTCGAAAGTTCATATAACCGAAATATTTTTTTTGTTTTCTTAAAAACTTTTTTAAAACCATACTTAACTTGTAACATTGCTTACACTATAAAAATATAAAAAATTGTATTTTTTTAAAAAAATAACTGGCACTTTTTACACCTATTATACCATACTTTCAATTAAATTAATTTAATCAACGTGGCTGGCGACTTAAAAATTAAGTTGGCAACACTGAAAACATAGAGGGAGAGGATATAAAAATAATATACAGAGTAACTTTTAATGTATTGGAAACACTGAATTATTGGTACTCTTTCTAATTTGTCCAGAATGTTTCAGATAACAGCTAAATCACAGTAGTCGCCCGTCGCAAATTAAAATTGCCTATAAAAGGTTGACGTTTGAATTTAAAAGTCAAGGTTGCCAAACTAAAATTTTAAATTTAACACCAACAAAAATCACAATATCATTTACAGTCACTTTTTTGGTACTATTCACAGAGTATTGGACCTCTATTTACTTTATTATTCAGGGTGTTACAAAACTCGCGCTGGCATTTATTTTTTGACATTTGACTTTTTTATGTCTATTTAATGATACTCTTTATCTTGTATATGTTTTTTTTATAATTATCTAGAAAAAGTACAAAAATTTTGCTAATAAAAACCACAATTAACATTAAACACAGTTCCAGTTTAGGATATAGTTTCCTTGTTTCTTCTCCTAATAGCCTGTAGCAAAAAGACTTGGAATTTTTTTTCCAACAGAAATAAATAGAGTCTAAGCGCAATATTTAAACTTTCATAACTTCGAAATTTTTATTAGGTAGAAATTTTTTAACATTTTTTCCATGTTCTTGGTATCTCACCTTACATGGTGGGGCGCGAGTTCTGGCGCATTCTGTACACTCTGTGGTATTATTATATGCCTACAATATTGCCAACTTAATTTCACAGATCACACAAAGTGGTAAAACAAAAAAAGTTTTAAGTAAATAAATTTATTTATAACATCTTAGCCCACATATACACTTGTTTATTTGGTCAAAACGTTTTAACGACTTGAAAGATATCTTTCCAATCTGTTTTATTTTTTAACATGCAATACATTTTTTTATCTTCTATTATTAACATCCAATTTATAACCAACATCTAAGAGTGTTTAATCAAATTATAGATAAAAAATAAGATTGAAATCTGCCATATTTTTCTGAATGAGATTGATAAAATTGATAAAATTTTGCAAACAAATTTCAAATGTTATATAAACTACCTACACACAAAAACATTAAACAATGGATGAATCAAATGAAATTATTTAATTTTTATTTGAAGCCTCCACTATTTAATTACACACGAAATTCATCACACAATCCATAAGATATCTTAAATATAAACCTAAAATGACTTAAACAACCACCATAAATATAGTTTGAATAACAATAATAAAATAAATATTGCATGAAAGTTACATTGCTTTTCAACTGTCGCTTTTATTATTTTTGCAAAAAAATTGCTTCTGAATGTGTTTTACCGGTAAATATTACAATACAACATCTTTTTGGACACATATAAGCTCCTTATAAATAATTGTAAATGAAAAAACTAAGTAACAGAAAAGTTCAAGCCACTGTTGCGCCTCAACACTAGGATGTTTAGGTATTCTAGGTGGTAAGTTTTTGACCAAAGGTATGAGAGGTAAGACGTTACTCGAAAATAACCAACAAACATTTGATATGGATAAATTTAACAATAATATCGACATGCTGTGTGCATCGAGGATTGTCAAAAACCGACGAAATATCACAAGATTAAATGAACGTTAATATTGCCAATAAGATTAGCAAGAGATCGTTTGGCTCACTCCTTGGGGGTGACCTTCTTGAGCACGATGGTGAAGGTGAAGGTGTGTGCGGGGGAGGATTGCGGCGTGGAGGAGGGCGACGACGACGACACCGTCACCGTGGGAGGATGGGGGTAGTGATGGGGGGAGGGAGAGGGTGACCTGGGCGGAGGGGGCGGTTGTGGAGGTTGCGGCGCGACAGTGGCCGTATGTTAGTTGGAAGAATGCTTGCCGTCTGAAGAAGCCAGCTCGCTGGATCCGCTGCTGCTCAAAGTGGTGTTGGAGCCGTAGGGGTCCAGGGAGCTCTGCACCGACATGGAACGGCCTTGTGCTTGCCGTCTTACTCGGTTGGGTGACAGTTTTCCGGGGTCGACACTTGCCGGGTCTGCCTGCAACACATAGTGCTTGACCATTTTGGGACGGGGGCTAAAACGGGGAAAGCGAAGCACTGCCATGCACCGGGGGACTGCCACAACGGGGACCAAAAAGCTTTCTTTATTATCAAACAAAATTTAAAACAGTTTGATTTTTACTTCGGTCTCTTCTTGCTGCTATTTCTTTCTTTTTTTCTATTTCAGTTATTCATAATTTCTTAGTCAAATTTATTTATTTCTTATTATAATTTAATATCTATTTAAAAAAAAATATTTTAAATTTGTTCTCAAACGTCACAAAAGTGACCTTTTATCACTAAATGTCACAAGTAAAAGTTTTGCCTCCCAGGCATGAATTAAAAATTTTGTTTTTTCGCTTAAGAATTTTTGCCAATGTTGTCTCTTTCGTTGCTTCAACAAAATATGGAGAGGTACAATGTAGATCAAAAGCATTCACACTGATTATTTTGTTCATTTGCTTGCTAATTATAGTGTTACTCTCTACTCTCGATCTGAATACGTTTTATAGCGTACAGGTGCGCCAGAACTCGCGTCCCAGAGAAAAATACCATATGAGGTAAGATACCAGAAACATGGAAAAAATATTTAAAATTTTTTATCTATAAAAATTTCGAAGTTATGAGGGTTTAAAGTTTGCACTTTGACTCTATTTATTTTTGTTGGAAAAATAATTTTCCAAGTTTTTTTGCTATAGGCTATTAAAAGAGAAAACAAGGAAGCTGTATCCTAAATTGTAACTCTGGCTTTTATTGGCAAACTTTTTGTCCCTTTACTAAGTAAATGTAAAAAAACATATACAAGATAGTATTTTAAATAGATATAAAAAAAATTTTGACAGATAGAATTCATGTTCCTGGTATCTTACCTAACTTGAAAATTTTCTCTGGGGTGCGAGTTCTGGCGCATCCTGTATGCTATTTGGAGTAAAAGTGAGTTTACGTGGCGTAGCTGAATTATTTGCTTCACTACGTTTGGCAAAATAAACGTTCAGCCTTGCCACATAAACTATCACTTTTACTCCTAATAACCAGTGTTAGGCGGTAGGGCTTTATTTTCTCCCAATCACCTCCCACCATGCATAGGGCCCCACTGGCCCGCTGCCGTACGTAGCGAAAACTCGGTCTTTGAGTTTTACTAAATAATATTAAAATAACAATTATCAAATTGTAATAACAGTCAACAGTGCAATGGTTCTTGACAGCTTTATCTAATTTTACGACACTCAAAAATTAAACGATTACATTTCAAAAATTTGACTTGCAAACAAGCGCGACGGCACTGCGATATCGCTAGGTAGTGGGGGGAAATAAATCCCGACCGCCTAACACTACTAATAACAGGATATACCAGGTGAATAAAAAGTATGGAACCAAGCGTTTTGTTCGTAAACTAAGCACTTTACGAAAAAAATAATTAGTGTAGCATAAAGTACAATTAAAATGTGACCATTTATCACGAATAACATTTTTCGAAATTTCTTTTAGTTTTCGAGTTCTGGATTTTTTTTTTTAAATAGCAACCCACCATGGTAATTTTTTTAATTAAAGATTATGATCTAAAAATGACCTCTAATTAAACAGAATTGTTTTCTAGATAGTACTTTTTTTAAATAAATTGTTAAAGTTGCGTTTCGAGCCCATCACGAAGATTTTCCGAACTTGAACGAGGGGGTCGTTTCATGACTTTGGTCATTGGAGAGCCCGTTTTTTGTGCAGGTGCTTTGGGGTGGTTCCGGATGGATCAAAAAATGTAATAACAAATCATTTTCGTCTATTTTTAGTCCATTCGAAACCACCCCAAAGCACCTGCATAGAAATCAGCGCTCTCCCATGATGAAAAGCATGAAACAACCACTTCGGTTAAGTTCGGAAAATCTTCGTGATGAGCTCGGAACGCAACTTTAACAATTAATTAAAAAAAAAGTACTGGCTAAAAAACAATTTTATTTAATTAGAGGTCATTTTTAAATCATAATCTTTAATTTAAAAAATTACCATTGTGGGTTGCCATTAAAAAAAAATCCAGAACTCGAAAACTAAAAGAAATTTCGAAAAATGTTATTCTTGATAAATGGTCACATTTTAATTGTACTTTACGCTACACTAATTATTTTTTTCGTAAAGTGCTTAGTTTACGAAAAAAAACCGCTTGGTTCCATACTTTTTATTCACATGATATGTACTATCACTACTATCATTCTTTTCCCAAAAACGTGATTATTCATAGTGTCGTAATTTATTGTGACCTCCAAAATTATACGTCTTTATAACATGAAAACTTTTGTATTATGTATGCAACTACATTAGATACGAAAAAGTTACAATTTCGCAATTTTTACATGTTAAAAAATATAGTTAGGTGTATTATTTTCTTTTAAACATTTTTTAATTTGTTTTCAGTCTAGCTTTCTGGAAAAAAACGCAAAAAAATTAATTCGTGTTAAAATGCGATTTTCCCAAAATATACAGTGTGTCCCCGGATAGGTGAAAAGACTTTTGTAAAAGATAACAAAAAATGATTTTAGTTTTAATTTTTTTGGGTTAAAAATTTTTTTTTGCTTGGTTAAAAATCAATTTCTAACATAATTTTCTTTTTAAAAAAGTATGTAGGAAATTTTCAAAAACTTATTTTATTTTAGGGTAAAGTGCCTTTTATGTGGCCAATTCGACAAAAAGTTATTAAAAAAAGTTGTTTAGAATCAACATCTAAGTTCCTAAACCAAACTTCAAAATCATAGGCCAACTATGATTTTTATTTTTTTATGCTTCTCAGTTCTCACAAATAAAAGAAATTTATTTTTAACAGGTTTTTTTTATAATAAACAAAAAATTTCACACATAGTTTATTACTACTAAATAACTTAACGTACTTGTTCCTAAAAAGTAACTATCTTAAAGAAAAATTAAAAATCATAGTTGGCCGATAAGTTTGAAATTTGGCATAGAGGCCTAGATGTTGATTTTCCACAACTTTTGTTAATAACTTTTTGTTGTGTTTGCCACATAAAAGACACATTAAGTACTCTAAAAATTGAAAATTTTCAATGCATATTCACTTGATTTTTCAAATCTAAAATTATGTTACAAATTAGTTCTTAACCAAGCAGGGCTGAACCCCAAAAAATAAAAATTTAAACCGAGAATTTTTTATCTTTTACAAGAGTTTATCATCTATCCGGGGACGCACTGTAAAAAGCAAAATGTTAATCTTTCAAATGCGAAATTTCTATATCTCTGGATTTAAACATTTTTGACAAAACAAATAAAAAAACACTTCTTCCGTTTAAATAGATTTAATGAAAATAAAAATATATTGCTTATGGTTATTTTTGTTTGTATAATTACTTAATTTTTTATTTTCTTACTTTTATTAATTTTAAGGTTACTATTTTTTTATACCTAGTAATAAAAAAGTTTTTAATTTTTTTTCTTTGTCATGTATTTCAAGAATCTCTATTTGTTTCATCTAGTTTATAAAAAAGGAAAAGAATTTCTAAGTCTTTGGCTTCAAAATGTGCGACGTTATCAAAGTAGAATCTTGAGTAACGTATCAAGATTTTAAAGTATTTTTGGTGATTTGATGTTTGTTTTTCATTTTCGTTACTTAAAAGAAAACAATTAATAAATATAAAAAATGGGGTGGGGAGGTGTAAAGGGGGCCCCGCTCTAGACAGACCCCGTTTGGGTAATTGGGGGTAGTAAATACGTACTGTGCAAATTGGCAAATGGTGCAAACAATTAGATCCCACCAATGCAACAAGTGAAACGAAATAAGTAAATAATCCGATAAAGCTGCATATGCCGCATAAAAACCTAAATTTTGGGTACTGCACCTGATATGCTAGCGCATTCATTATAATGTTGTAGGGCACCAAGCCTAAGGGGTGAATCTCCCTCATTAGGACATTTGCAGGTATCTTATGGAACTGAATGTACTCTAAGAAGTTACCTATCACGTCCTTGAGGCTAGTACTGGGGTTATTATCACAATATTTTTTACCTAAGGGAATAACAATCAATAAAAAATCACAAAATCTTACACTGAAGTACCCCACATAAGTGCCGCTTGAAACTTTGTAAATTCGTCAGCATGAAGTTCATCTCTAGCCAAAATCAGTCTGACCACATGTTGGGGTAGAAGAGTAAATGAACCCAAATTGAGAACCTCGTTGCCGTGTTCATCCACAAATTCTAAAACCTTGACCAAGAAAGTTAAAACATTTACAAAAATTATTCAACACACTTTTTGAACCAGAGATTTGGTACATTTGTATTGAATGTAACGTTCAGCTGAGGCCAAAAGGGCACAAACTGTATCCACATTTATGCAACATTGGACGAAACCTGCACAAGCTCTTCGTAGTTCGTCTAGACCATAATAATCAGCCGCATTCATCACACCTATTAGGGCACGAGTTTTAATAAAAAAAAAATTCTACCACCACCAATAGCAACTCACCCAGTAGTGTGCGAGGCTGAAGGGTCACACACCCAGTATGGATATACTCAATCAACTGTCTGAAAACATCCGGCTCGAATTCTTCAATAATAAGGGTTTGGTGCTGCTGTGATGGCGGCTAAATAGTTTTGCAAAATTTTATCACAACATCAACAACTCTAATCAAAATTTATTAAAAATAGTTTATCGTGGTGTTATGATACTGAAAGTGGTTACTTCTACCCTCTAGCTCATGCAAATTAATGAATTACTCAGTAAAACCATGCCAGTTATCCTAAATTCTAGTACTAGGGTGTTGAAAAATCGGTTAGGTGCTTGAAAAATCACGCAAACAGGCAGACAGACGGAAAGTATGGAAGAGGAGTGTTTGTGGATTACCTCTTGGATAGGGGCCAGCTGCTGGGTGAACCCTCTCTATGTACAAACCACGATATTAAAAATTTTTCCCGATTTAGTTTTTTGGAATTAGAGACCGATTTTACCTGTTGTGAGGCGTTTTGGAGGTTGAGGAGCGGCTCAGACGACCGTTTGAGGAAAAGTCGGAGTTTGTTCTCGCGTGGGGGAGGCTCCTTCTTGCGCTGGGGGCTTGGGGCCTAAAAAATTCTTTGGTTTCGTTTTCTAACATTTTTTCTCTCACCTGGTAGAGCATCTTGTGGAAGACCCTGGACCTGGCCGCTAAGACCGCCTTGACGGCGCAGACCGGCTCCCTGGTGTCCCCTACGAGGAAGGTGACGTCGCACAACTCCGGCATTGAAGCCAGAAACTTCATGTCTTCGGCCAGGCCCGTCTTGTTCTCAAAAGTGCTTAGGTCGGGTTCGGCTTCCGCCATCACGATGTAACTCGCGGGTAATAGCAAGCTTTCCGGCATCTGAAACACACCGAAAATCCGGAAGTTGCCTCATGAAGCGACTTCCCATGACGCATGGACTCGCGATAAATCGGCTATAAATAACATCAGCTGAAATATATTCACCGGACGGTAAATAAATCACCGATTAAATATTGACACACCTGGAGAAATTTTGCGATCAACAATTGAAAAGGGATAAACAAGGGAATCGATTGCTTACCTGTTAGAATTGAGAAAATCCACGAAAGAAATGAAATGAAATGAAATTTACGCTGATATTTTTGTCGAGAATTTGGTCTAGACGAGGAAACTGCGGCTTTTTTCACACATTTTCACAGATTTGACGGCATTTTTGCCTTGACTGCTACGAGGAAATTGCGAGTCGCGGAAAACAAGCGCATGTGCTGATATAACGATTGAGAGAAAATGGGACGGAGCCGATAATCGCTTCAGGATTTAATCAATTGCACTAAATTGATCCAATCACGAAATCACAGCATTAAAGTCTGTTAATTAAATTTTAAAACTGTCATTATTTCAATGATTTTCCTAGAAAATTGTAGCATTTTCTATCAATCGAAATCGGACTTATAAAAATTATAAGCCACTTTAAGAGCAATTAGAAAATATAATGTTTTAAAATTGAGGGTTGTTATATTTTTTAATTAAAATTTTACATTAAAAAAGTTAAAAAAACGGAAATGGAGTTCAATTTTTTTCCACTAATGTATACATCAGAAGATATAGCTGTTAGGGTACAATAAATCAACTGACTCTGTTCTCACTTATTTTTAGAAGTGCGCCAGAACTCAGATACCAGGAACATGAAAAAAATGTTTAAAAAATTCTATCTGTCAAAAAATGTAGAAATTTATTTTTTGACATTTGATATTTTTTTATGTCTAATGACACTGATGATTTTGTACGATAATTTAACAAAAGTACAAAAATTTTGCGAATAAAAGCCACAGATAAGATTATACAGAGTTATAATTTAGAATACAGGTTCCTTGTTTCCTCTTCTAATAGCAAAAAACTTGGCAAAACTATTTTCCCAACAGAAATAAATAGAGTCAAAGTGCAAAATTTAAACTCTCATAATTTCGAAATTTTCATAGAAAAATTTTTATAAACATTTTTTCCATGTATCTTACCTTATATGGCATTTTTCTCTAGGGCGCGAAACCAAGTGAAACATAAGAAAAAAGCCACAGATTACCATCGCTATAATTCTTGAAATTTTAGTGAAGATTAGGTTGTGGCTATTCTTAGAAGTATGCAGGGGCGGACTGGTAAATTTTTATACAAGGTGATTCTTAAATAGACCGACAAAATTGTACCACAGCTTCCTAAGGATAAATGGAAACAAACTGTACCATTTTTACGTTTATACCTTTTAGGGGCAAAACCCCCTTGATCCGTGCCACTTACGGCGTTTATGAATTGTTGTAATGATCAAGTACGTTAATACCACCGCCTCCTTAATCAAATGTATCAATATCCCGCCTGGGCATTTCGTAAAAAATGCATTGGAGCGGTGATTCCGATTTTTTCTTAGTTACGGGGGTTACTAAGGAAAAACTGAATAATTTATAATTATTAACGAAAAATGACGCAATTAATAAATGCTGTGAAGGAAGGATACAACAAAACTAGATACGCCAGGGAGAATTGATATTATGAGAATGAACCCTTTAAGCTAAAAAACTGGATTTGTCAAAAATTTTCCCCAGATTAAAGCACCAACGGGAATCACTTGAACTCAAAAAATGCCCAGGCGAGAAAAGGATTATTTCTATGGAGACGGCGATGGTTAATACCATGGTTTCCACTATCTGTGCGAAAACATCAGTGGCGTACGTCTTACTTCGAAAATAACTTTAATAAATTTTATTTGAAGAACGTTTAAACAAAGAATTTTTTAAATATTTTTTTCAGCATGTTCTTATTTTCTACTACCAAGGATAAAATTTTGTCGGTCTATTTAAGAATCACCCTGTATGGAGTGCTAAAAGTTGAAATGAGGGCCCAATATATAATACAATAAAAATATGTTTAAAAACTACTTGTCACTTAATGTAGTATTTTTTTTTGAAGGAGTTTGTTTCCCCTATTGAGATTGTGACGTCAGTTGAAATCGTGATGTTTTAATAATAACCGAAAAAAAAATCTAAAAAAGTTTTTAGATGAACGTCTTCAAAGGCTGCTTGTAATTTTAATTTTCGTTTTTCTTTTCGTTTCTGTGCACCAAATTTATACTTATATTTCGATTTTTCCATTTATTTATGCCCACTAATAATACCTAATAAAAAAAATTAAAAATTAAAATTAAATTCATTTAAGTAAAAACGATATTTTATATCGGTTGATTAAAAAATGTGTGGCATAATTTTAATTACGAACACCCCTCTACAATTGAGAATAGATAGTACAGTATTTATTGACCCAACTCAAAAAATAGAAAAATTACAACTTTCCAAAAGTCGTTATGAAAAAATGATTTTCTGGAAATATTTTTGTTACCGTTTATCCGATTATTATTAAATTTTGCATAGACAGCAATGGGTCCTTCCAGTGTTAGGATTATAACTTTTTTTCGGCTTATTAATTTCTGTTTTTGAAACAGCCCAACATTTTTTTTAAAAAAAAAAAAAAGGTACTTTCATATCGCCAAAATGTACCGTTCTCGAGTTATTTGAGTTTAAACTAAATTCTACACCGCGCTACAAAATCAGAATTTATAAATTTTGAGCGTACGTTGGAAAGAATCCACTACGAATGACATCGCTGTCAATGCTGTCATATTTAATGTAAATTTCATTAAATCCAAAGTAACATTTGTGTGTTTCTTGATGATTATAAAAGCTGTAATTTTTCTATTGCTTGATGAGTTGGATTACTGTGTTATCTATGCTCATTTGTAGAGGAGTATTCGTGATTAAAATTATGACACAAATTTTTGAATCACTTGTATAAATCTGCGCGGAATTTTTCTTACATGCGTGTAAGACRTTATAAACATTGAGCTAAAATAATTGAAATTATAGAAATTATAGTTTTATTTGTTATGGTGTCAATTTTTTAATTCCTTCAAACTAAACACACTTATATTCTGGCGCACCCTGTATAGCTTCTGCGAAAATCGCGGTTCAGCACTTCATGGATTAGCTCAATGCATTCTGGAAAGTTTATTTACAAATTTAAAATAATTGATATTATTTCAATGAGCTCTTGACATAATAAGCCTACCATAATTGGGGGCCCGTAAGACTCGAGGGCTCGGGGTGCTGTGGCACTCCGGCACCCTTGGCCAGTCCGCCCCTGGAAGTATGTACAAGATGTTTCAAGTTTTATTCACATCTCTTAAAACACCTCTTTTTTTTAAAATATAAGAACATGTTCAACTTTTTAACTCTTTACTTATAATAAGTAAATAGTTTAATAGTTTTTATACTTTTGTTTAGCTTATTATAATTTGAAATCAAAGATTATTGTGAATGTGATTTATTGATATTGAGGCATTTATTATTATCAGTTAATGTAAAAAACAGCAAAAACATTTTATCGAAAAATATTTTTTTAGTTCTATAATAGTTATCTATGTACCAAGTCAGTAAAGTGATTCTTTATCGAACGAGTTTGAGATTATGAGCCGAGTGAGCGAAGCGAGCGAGGCGAGTAACAGACGAGTTCGATAAAGACTCTTACTGACGTGGTGCATACAAAATTTTATCGCCAACCACAAAATTTTATGATTGAAAAAATGAGATATTATAATTTACTAATGTCAATGCCATTTTTTGCTAAAAGGGTTGCTTTCACCTAGAATAATACGACCACAACGAAGAAGGGGAATACTCTTTCGATATCGGAAAAATATGCGAGTAAAACGTTTTCGTTATAATTTTTATTCCATGTTTTTGGCACCACTCTATGAATATGTCATACCTGCGATTCTATTTTTCGAGTGATTTGTCTGGTAGAATTTCGAAAGACGTCTCTAACGACTTCTTCTGAATTTCAGGTGGCGTGCACTGAATGTCTTCTTAATTTTTCTATAAATAATTCGCTACAAAACTTTTATAATTAGAACAGTGAGAGTGACAAACGATTTCTGTTTAATGTCAAACAGTCATGGCTGGCTTTGTTGAAAGATATTAGCGGCAGGTAAAGTATTTTATTTTACAGTAAGATAAAGTGATTGTTTACTTCCGAAAATCGCTATGGTAATGTTTCGCTTTATTGACGGTTGGCGATAAAATAAATAAATTGATAAAACAGTAATTCATTGTTATTTGACATATGACGTATACAAACTGCTTGAAAATAGCTCAAATTACATTAGTTTTGATGAAATACTGAAAACAGTCGCACAAAATACCCATTATGACACCGAAATAGAAAAAAGCTCTTATGCTTTTTTATGCACTTTCCGTTACTTATATGCTTTGCTCACTTATTTGTTCTTATGCCTTTTTCTTCCTTATTATGTTTTGCGTTCTTATTTGCTTTTATGCTCTCTCTTTCTCTCTCTCTTATTAGAACATGTGCGCATGTTTTAAAGTTCGCGCGTTTATACGTCCGTCATTTTTTATTACTAATTTGAATTAGTATTTGCATTCGAATTAGTGAAAAATTCATAACTTGAGCGAGGTTTGAACCCCGAACCTATCTGCCGGAAAGCGGGACTTAATGCCACTACACCACTACGCCACCGACATTCTCAATGTTTTAATTCACTATATTCATACTTATACAAAATTTTTCAAAAATTCATTTCTAGTATTTTTAAACCGTTTTGTACTTTTGTAAGTTTCTTAAATTCCCAAGAGTGCAAATGGTTCAAATTTGACGTTTTCGAATTTTCGATTTTTCGATTTTCAATTTTTGTCGAAATTTTGAGCGGTTTATTGCTAATAACATCGGAATTATTGACTCTAGTCCTTTTTGTGTGGTACTGTTGAAAAACAAATTTAATTTTATATCATATAAAAAATAGTACATTATATTATAAGTGATAGAAATGCATCATTATACGCGAGTGAGAATTTTGACCGACGAGTGCGCTTGCGCACGAGTGGGACACTTCTCACGAGTTTCATAATTGCATTTCGATCACGTGTGATATACGACGTTTTATCTTACAGGTGCAACTATCCAAAAACTGAAGTTTCATTCAAGTAAAATATTCACCAATAAAAATATAATAGTAAATATAATATAATAGTCAAATTTACTTACTTGTGAGTACTTTATCTCACTTGTGAATAATATTTGATTTCTATCACCGAAAACAATGGTCTAAGGTAGCTCAAAAATTCAACCTGTAAGATAAAGATAATTGTCCTACGTTCAAAAGTTATCGAGAAACTTGCTGATGAAGTTAAAAATATCTAAAATATTAAATCAACTATAACTTCTAGACGTCAAAAATTCTGTAGTTTTTTCGACGCCAATCGATTTCTCGGAACATTTTACATATGTATGCATTATGCATAAAAACATTTAGAATGTTTTTTGGTTTCTAAAATATAATTTTGGTTTTATTACCATTACAAAATAGTTTTGCCTGATTTTGTTCTGGCGAAGAAAGAAGGGGTGTAACCTCCAAAACCCTTCTTGCTGCGCCACTGTCTTTCACACTTGGAATTCAATTAGAAATAATTGCCGTTTTGAGAAATGCGAATAAAACTTGCTTCATTTTGTATAAAATAATAAAAAAAGTTGCATTAAATGACTTGAAATAGCTTTTATTGATAAAATAGATAAGATACAATAAATTTATAATAATTTAGCTTTTTCAAAAGTAAAGTTTCCACGACATTCTCAATAAATATCTATGTCCGAATAATTGTTTCACTTGTGTATTACAGCGTTCACAAATGTGAAAAACGACAGTCCATTTTTCAAAACCTAAAACAACAGTTTTGTTATGAACCAATTTATGGAACACTTCTACCAAATTAAAGCTTTGTAGATCCAGATTTTCGTATCCTGCCAATGATAATCTCGCAGCATGTTGAGCTCTTTGGATAACAATTAGTTTATCAGTTTTATTTTCGTACATTTTGTTTAGTGACCAATCGTGATAAAATATTTCATCGGAAATGTTAACACTCAGTCTGGTCGTGAAAATAGACCATTCGAATCGAGTCATTTTTGACCCTCCTCCCTGTGTAGCTTTTGATGTGAAAGGAATTCTCCCCTTGTTGG